CCTAGCCCCCCCCCCCCACAAATATCCCGAACAAAAATACTCGAAACAACACACGAAAAGTGGATACTGTCACACGCACCCGCACGCACCTGCCACGCGAAGAGGGCGATCATGCCGAAGTTGATGGCCATGTGCGCGATCCTAGCCGTGTCGTCCCCCTTCTGCATCTTCGGCACCAGAGACGCCGCCACCGCCCATGCCACCACCACCGCGGCGCCGGCGTACAGGTGGGGCCCCGGGAAGAGCTTCTGCGCCCTGAGGTACGTGTTGACGGGCCCCTCGACGGCGGCGAACGTCCCGAGCCCGAGTAGCAGCGCGCCGGCGTCGTAGTGAAGGTCGCGTACCTACAAGGGGGGGGGGGGGGGGGGGGGGCGCTCACGAAAATGAATGGTCAGAGCATTGTATCCCTGTAATGCCGGGGACGGGGCGATATGATTTCATCGGCCCAGGTTACTTTTCACAAGGATGAACCAGAAGCTGGTCGTCATCCTTGCAGAGCAAAGGCAGTGGTTTCATGGTATGGAGGGAGGCATGTGGGGCAATGCAAACCTAAACGTAAGGATGTAGGTTGACGGCGAAACGTACAATCTACCCAGGTGGGAGTGGAAGCGGCCGACGGGTAGTGATGTGGAAGTTGGTGAGGAAGGGGCGACCTGATCGCCGTCGGCATTGTCATGAGTACGGGCAGCGTTACGACCGCGGCGTCGTGAAAGTAAAAAACACGCATCAAACACGCAGGCAACTCGTTATCTTGTCGGTGTCGGGGATTTTGGGAGAAACGGATCGGGATGTGTACAAGAGAGCTGTGTGGTCGGGGGTACGACGCAAACACAAAACACAGCGATTTTCCGTGAGGTAGGGTGTTAATGCCGACCACAGTGATTTTTCGGCAAAAATGGTCTCATCCTCGTGCACCATCTGGTCCATATCGTAATCCTGGCGATATACCCTGTGTGCACGAAAACACGTTGCCTCGACCGGGCGTAATCCTCCCTTAAGCTTAGCCCCTCCTCGACGCCTCAGACCGTCCAAGTCTCTGGATCCGTTGTGTTGACTCACAAGGCCCCAACCTCTCTTCTATCTGTCGAGGAATTTCTCCTCGTCTCGTTCGATTTCTCGTCGCTCTTCCTGTCCGCCACTTTTATTCTTTCTCAACCTTCCCGGAAAGATCGACCTTCTACTCGCCAGCCAGCCGCAAGCGCTCCAATAGCAACGCTCGAATCCATCCCCCCTGCTTTCTCCCTTTGCAACCGCCTCAGTCATGTTCTCCGCCCTGTGCCCTCTCCCCCGCCACATGTTAGCATGCGCCCACGCTACCCCTGTGCTCTTTCGTATCGGTGCTTCCGAGCGAAGACTCTGTTGCTGCAACATATTCGTCAGCTCCCCCTCCACTAACAGAGCTCCATCGACCAGTCTTCCCCCGGTGCTCGTCCATGTTCACGTCGTCCTCCTCCGTGTTGCCCGCATGTTGCACTCCGCTTGCCGTCCTGCCCATCACCATGGCCGTCTTTTCGTCCCCGTGTGTCTGTCGGTGTGTGTTTACGGTTCTGTGCCTACCCGTGTCTCATTCTAGCAACGGCGCGATCGCACTCTCTAGTTGGCCAATGAAAATACTTAAGCCTGGAATAGCGCCATCACAAACGCACCAGCCTTCCAGCGTATGTCCGCGTTATCCGCCCGACCAACGAAACAATGTCAGTCTTCGCAAAACCGGATCAGTCTTCATAAAAGCGTCATCAAAGAAGCGGACAAGCCTTCCGGCCTTTGTCTGTGTCTTGTTAACATCAGCATCGACCGCGCTACCCGGCTGACCAATGAAAAGGCGTCAGTGTCCAGCGGGAAAAACCAAGGTCCCTGGAAGGTCTGTGTTTGGTTTCTGTGTCCATCCCCCTCCCTGCCTCGCACCACATCTTTCTCCGTGTTTTCCTCACGTTCTTTTTCGAGAGCTCTTTCCGCCGGGCGCCCATGTCGTTCAGCTCCTGCTCAATCTCCACTGCCGCAGACGACGAAAGCTTCGCAAGGTCCGCCTTCAGGCTAGCCGCCGCCTGCTCCGACAAAAACAAGAAACGTAATAATGGAAAGGTGTGCAGGGCATCAGTCTAAGAAAGAAACAAGACGGAGCAACAGAAAATCGTCGCTGGCAGCAGTAGTCTGCGCAGCTCGTTCTACGTCAGCAAACATACTGGATGAAATTGATAGAATCGGCAAAGTTGAGGGTGTGGGTTAGGGTTATAGGGTCTGCGTATCCCTTTCCTGGTCTTTTACATGTATGGTGATAACCTTACTTTCAATGCAAAGGCACTACACAGCAGTACCTATTTCGCATTTTTTGTTTATCACCTCGGCTGCGTCCTCTCCCAGCTCCTCCAGCTTCGAGCGGATGCCGTCCGCTTCCTTCTTCAGTGGGGTCGACGCTCGCGACCCGGAGGACAACACCGGCAGCTGCTCCTTGAGAGTGCTGACAGAACGGCGGAAAACCGGGAGGGGTGGATCATGTGCCGCGACTGAGATGTGGGGAGTACGGTACCTGTCTACCTGCCACAGCAGTATTACCGTTACACATGGACTGACAACGCGGTATTGCTCCATAGCCAACATCATCACCATCCGGGAGTTTGGCTTCGTCCTTCCTTGTGCCCTACTGCACGTGCAACTCGAGGTCAATTGAAAAGAGCTCCCTATCAAGCTAAAGGGGGGCGAGCGATGATCGAAAACTTACTGAAACGCGTAGAAAAGGATAGGGTAAGTCATGACAGATATGCCTAGCCTGGAGGGCACGCTGAGCTTGATATACGTGGTACATATACTTCCTCGATGACACGACAAAACGTCATTTCTGCGACTGGACACGACCTCCTAGATCAGGGGAAACGAGGGGGCGGCAACCGAAACGAGCGAGCTACCTACACGGTGGCGGAATGCCGCCCGTCGACCACGAAGCGCTCGTCCACCCCGTCTGGCACACCTGCTCTTGCCGCTGTACATCGTGACCAACGAAACTCCAACAAAAAGGGCCCGCGTGCAACCTCACCGCCACGACCAACAGCAACAGAGGACAGTGTCGACGACAGCACCGATGACATTGTCCGGTGGATTGATCGACCGTACGGAGGGAGCTGTATTGCTGAAGCCCATCTCACCTCATTCTTCCGCCCATGGTTCGCTGCTCCCGCCACTCCAGCCCCAGCTTAGCGGAGCGCAGGCTCACGGCGAACATGGTGCCCTGAAAAATCGACCGCCGTCCACCAAAATACATGTATACGGGGGGGCAACTATTTTAGTGCCGGTTGAATAGTGCCGGTGCCCCCATATTGTGATGTTTTTTTCGGCTGGCACAGACTAAATCACCAGGTCAACTCTGTACTATGAGTCGTGCCGGTCATTTCTCTGGGCACATACCGCCATTGAACAGCCCACCCCCCCCCCCGGTATTGCCATCGGGGTTGGGTTTTCGTCGCTTGGCAACGTCGTAAAACAAGCCGATTCACTTCGTGAGCTCGGCAACTAGGTTACCGTTTTTTTTTCCCTCTGGTTTTTGTTTTTTTGCGGTCACCAAGTGGGTGGTCGAGAAGATCATGTTGTGCGGGGACGAGAACCCTCACTTCGCGCAAGGAGGATGATAGAACCACGTTATGTTTAAATGGCCAAGCACCCTCGAGGCAGGTACAAAGTGCATATAACTGTCTCTGGAAGTGGAAGCACCAGAAAACAAACTAAGTCATACGCAGCTGCCATCCGTACGCAAGGAAGTAAGCACAAGATGCCGAACACCCTTAGGGCCCCTTCATGCGACTCGCCGAATACCTCACGGCGCTTCGCGCTTGGTGATGTGAGAGCCTGGTCCGGTGAGACCCCGGNACAGCAGCGGTTGTCCCATACGGCGGAACACATTCCATCCCGCGTATTGCACCACACCATTTTCCGCCGAGCCACAACTCGGTGGAAATGGTACTGTGACTCAAAACACGCCTGAAAGGCTGCAAACCTCGCATTCCGTGAGTCTAGATGGGGATCCCACTGCCGCGGGGACCATCCTACGGTGCCTCCCCCGATTCCTCCAGCCCGGGTTAGCACATGCCTCCTTTCCTTCCCTAAACCACAAATAAATGTATAGCTCAATTGTTGCAAAGTTCGACCGCCGTCTGCTCACAGCATCACCCCGCCCCTGAACCCGCCTGCAACAGTCTGCTCTTCCCTCGAACCTCCCTCATCGGTCGTTCCAACCGAGCGCGCGGCGCAAGACCACCCTCCCAGCCGACCCTTTGCCCTCGTTGCTCACCATGACGATGGGGTGGAAAAACGACGCCGTCTTTCCCTCGATGATCCCGAACTCGCCTCCCTTTGCGCTGGCCTCCGCTGCGCCCAGCACCAGGGGGGTGAGAGCGGCCGCGCCCGCCCCGGCGACTGAGCGAAAGTTCAAGGCACCTCCCCTCGCCCCTCTGCCGTCGATAGCGGTGCTGCTGCTGCTGCTGCCGTCAAACGCCTCGCGGACGCTGTCGAAATCGACTTCGAAGACCTCAGCCGCTTGCTGTTGCTTGTTGTCCGGGGAGGGACCCACCACCGACATTGTGGGTGCGCCAGGCGCTGCTGGGCGGAGGCAGCAAATTTTTGGCGAGAGAAGGGGGGTGTGTGGTCATGGGGAGTAGTTAGGCAAGACAATGGCGTGAGATGTCTAGCAGCGGCGCCACCGTCATGAGGACTTTCTTGATGAGCGTGGTTGTTCAGATGACACGCTCCCACGGTAGGAAAAACACGGAGGCAGAGATGAAAGACACCACACAAAACACGCCGGTACGGAAGAAATGTACAGAGCGTCAACCAGCAAATCTACTTTTGTGCGAAAGGAGGACGGCACACGCAGCAGCACGTGCTAGTGTACCATGGGCCGTGAACCATCGACAAGTTTTTGGCAGAGAGGCTTCGCTTTATCAATCAACAGCAAATCAGTAGCTCTGCGCGAGCCTTCCAAGTCCGGGGGTTGCCGAACGGCTCACGAGGCACACTTCTCCAAGACTATCCACTCGGAAGCAGCCAATCGTTCTGTTGGGTGTAGAAAAGGTGACTTTGCTGCCGAAAGTTGGAAAGCAGGCCGGTGGGGGGGTGTACTCATAGTTGTGCATGCGAAATCGTTACACCATTGACCTCGCATCCCTACAAAGCCGGGACGGAGCACGCCGGGTTCTCACCGGACCAGGCTCTCACATCACCAAGCGCGAAGCGCCGTGAGATATTCGGCGAGTCGCATGAAGGGTGCGCTGCATCCNGCCTCGAGGGTGCTTGACCATTTTAACATAACGTGGTGCGATCATCCCCCTTGCGTGGAGTGAGGCTTCTCGACCCCGCACAACATGATCTACTCGACCACCATTATGGTTACCGCCAAATAAAAAAAAACGGAGGTAAAAAAAAAAACGGTAACCTGGTTGCCGAGCTCATGAAGTGAATTGGCTTGTTTTGCAACGTCGTTGCCAAGCGACGAAAACCCAATCCCGATGGCAAACACCGTGGGGGGCGGCTTGTTTTACAACGTCGTTGCCAAGCGACGAAACCCCAACCCCGATGGCAAACACCGAGGGGGGGGGGCGCTGGAGGGAAGACGAAATCACCCGAACGCGCTGTATGTTTTTATTATTAGCATCGACGGCGCTAACCGGCTGACCAATTAAAAGACGTCAGTGCCAGCGGGTAGAAATCAAGGTCCGTGTTTGCGTCCTATTTGTTATGGCGACAGTCCCCGCAGTTTTCGTGGTGAGACGTGTATCACACTTTTCAGCGTATGTAGAATACTACACTTTTTAGTGTATTTTTCGTACAACTACAACCATCCAGGTTACACAGAGAATGAAGAAGGTGGAAACGTACAGTAGTCTTTTCAGCTTTTCGAGAAAAAACTCCAATCCCAAAGCCGACATCAATCGCCGGCATGTAGATAGGTACCGTTGACGATGATTTGTCGTACAAGAGACTGGAAACCTGGCACAGAGAGTTTCTGTATTGGCACACCTCCCGTTGGTCTAAACTCCTCTCCATGAACAGAGCGGACTGCTGCTGAAAATCGACGTTGGATTCAGACAACCCGGACTTTCTTGCTGCTTGCAGATCAGTACACGGATATGAAGATAATAGTCTATGGAGTGGGCGATTAGGTCTTGTTTCCAACGGATATGACACATTTGTGCAGCTCGACGGCTCAATTTCATTTCATAAAAGGCAGAGGTGCCATAACAGGTGCCATAACATCCCCCCTCACTAATGAGAGCTCTTTTCTCCCCCTCTCAGTCAACAGGCCCGGGAACTCACACTGACTGCTGCTGTTCAAACACGCACGACGGCGTAGGGAGAGGAGCAGCTACACACATAGTCTATAGACTGGGCGTTAAGAACATGAACACAGAGTCCGGTCCCGATACGTTGGTTACCTCCCTAATCGTCCACCATCATAAATGACCAGTGCTTTGCAATGGAGGAGCATATATCCCTTCGAGAAACTTCAAGCGCCGATCCAACAGAGGAGGCCGAGAGCATGCCGCGCGTGTGCACAGGCCTGCGCAATGCGCAATGACTCATCTCGTGCTCTACAGCTGAACTCTGAAACACTAGCAACACACCTCGAAGTCCAAAGGCAGGAGATGGACGCATTAGCGGTGCGCCGACAAATGCGGAAGCACCACCCACAAGTGCAGCGCACAAGGTCGTTCTCTGGCTGAGCCCTTTCATGTTTAGCAGGTTGGGTGTTGTATGATGCGTGTGTGATGACGAGCATGTCAGATTCGCGCTGTTCAGAGAGGAGGAGGGAGAGGCTCCGTGGATGTACCTTGCAATCTCGTATACCCCTACCATTTTCTACGCTGCTCCCCTCTGGTCTGCCCTCGGCCCGTTTCGGTTTGGGCGTTTGAAAGTTTGAAAGCGCATGTGGGCATGTGGGGCATGCATGATCCATCATCTGTCCTCTGATTGCACTATGACGCGCTGATATTCTCGGGGCAGACCGCGGCCTGCCACTACGCTAGCAGATGAAATCATCGGAGTTGTTCTGAAGCCCCTAATGTACACGTACAACCAACCCCACATGATACACCGAGATCTCCGAAAAATGGTCTGATCTGTTGTGATGGGCGATCTCCGATCTATTGTATAAATAGTCGCATGGTGCAGAAGTGTAGTCGCTAGCCTCTCTCTCTCTCTCCCTCTCTGCAGGTTGGCACATCACTCTCACCATGCCCAATCCCTTGCAAAAGCATGACATGTTCTCAGCAACAAGGCGTGCCCATCTTGAAGAACTGGAGAGGAGAGAGAGCCATGAGGAATGGGAGGGATTCGTGAAGGGTTGGCACAAGCTCGAACAGCTGGAAACCGAGTGGGGAAGGGTGCGTTCAACCTTCGTGGACGACACGCTGACCTTGAACGTGGGTGGTTCGAACGTCGATGTCAGTCGGGCGGATCTACACAGACTGCCGGCACTGTCTGAGGTGTGGAAGCTGGCCAATCTGTTTGACAGCGACTGGGACGAGCGGCTTCCTCGAGATGCGAATGGTCTCATGGTGCTCGACGAGTCCCCCGTGTGCTTCAAGCACCTCGTCGACGCACTGGGGGGTGCCCTGCCTACTGACGAGCAGGCCTACCTCCCCTACGTCTCCAATGCTCTGGGGGTACCTAGTCCTACTCGAGTGCCGAGACGGCGAGTGGACAGCGAGGGAAGCGTGATGCTGGGCGTGGGGGGTGAGCTAGACCGAATGGCGCGGTTTTGGACTGGTGGTGCCCTGGCAACCCGGAAAGGCTAGACCTGCTGTACCGTGCATCCCGCGATGGCTGGGATACCAAGCATTTCCACACCCGGTGCGGAGATGACAGCCCGATGACTGTCACGCTGTACCGGTTAAATGACGCCAGCAATCGTAAGGGTTTGGGCTGCAGTGTGCTTGGGTGCTTCTCAAGTGTCCCCGGGACTCCCCCTCGTGACGGATCTACGGAGCGCAAATCCTCGCCCGGGGGATTTGTGTTCATCCTTACTGATGGCTCGCGCTCTTTCGGTCCGACAAAGTTGGAACTAGACCCGCGCAATGCTAGGAGAGGATGTGGTGTGGTGGTTCTTGGTGAAGACCGCATGCCGTCCTTCCATGATGACTTGGGGATATTGCACGAAGAAGAACGCCATCGAAGTCGTACTTCCAGCACAAACGCCAAGTATCGCCTTTGGACTGACAGCGACGCGTTCTACGTGCCCGAGGGATGCTCATTCCTCGAATACGATGGGATCGATATGGCGGAAACTAAGGGTTATCGCGTGTGGTCGGCGGAGGTGGAGCGTGGCGACGACGTTCATCGGTTCGGTGGCTCAATTGCCGCGTCGTTCGAAGAGGAGCATAAAGCGCTGCAGCTCAAAGCAAGCTTGTTGAGGCCACTGAGAAGGGTGAAGCATCCGCAAGCGCCTTGGGCGCCGTGTACGGGCCAGGTGTGGCATTGAACAACAGAGATCCTGTGGTGGACTTCAGTGTGTGTGGGTCGAGGACAACCACCAGGATCACCACCCTGCACTCTACCCTGCAGCTCTGCCCATACCTTGTCGCTCGACTGGACCAGTCGAAATGGACCGAGAACAAGGATAAGCACGGGCGGTGGTTAATCAAAGATTGCAGCCCAGCTGTATTCTCCAAGGTGCTCGACGTACTGCGAATGAAGAAACGTGCAGAGTGGATTGGCGGGGAAGCTAAGGCACGCGTTGCCGTCCAGGCCACCGATCGCGAGGCGATCGAGTAGGCTGTAGACATGTACTTTCCGGGGTGCGAGAGGGTCATCTTGGACCAAGTTGAGTTTCTCGGCGAGTCTGGAGCCGCCTGTTCAAGCATGGGCGCGAATGCCGAAAGTCAGAGGTGAGCCTGCTGCGTTTTTCCATTCTTGGGCTCTGCATGTGTTGCATCGGGGAAATGATTTCCCTGTCATGAACAGCCACCAAAGACCTGGCAGCGGTGCATTGCGACAGCCACGGTCGACAGGGGAGCAAAATGCGACGATGTTCGTTGGAGACCGTTGATTTGATACTTTTGTCTAGGCCAAGTGTAGCTGCTCGCGGAGAGCAGACCGAAGCAAGCATTTTAAGACAATATTGAAGGCTTCTCTGAACACGATCCGAACATAGACGATGTATTCATGGCAACCATTTGTCCGTATGGCGAAGGCTGTCTAGTTCAAAGGAACACTCAACGCTAGAGCTTCACAAGGCCGCGACGAGACATGCTCCTTGGACGAGATTCCATCTTCGGCACGCGTGGCAGCCTACTATCGATAATCTTCGGCGTATTATTATGGATATGGTTGACAAGAACCACGAGAAATGCGCGGAAATAGTAACGCGAATCCGATGCAGTACTCGTGATCAATGCACAATGAGCCGAAGACGGAACACAGAATATTTTGCTCTTCCCCCCATGGTTCAATCGGTGAAATCAAGATATAGCGGTTGAACGACTACAACACATTTCCGTGGTCAATCGCTGGGACATCCGTTCTTCGATGTTCGTTGTTGGGTTATTTGGTTGTTGGCTGTCCATGGGCACACATCTCATGTTCTCCTGGAGTCGACATCCTCGTCACGTTCTGAACTCCCTCTTCGTCATGAGCACACGAGGTCAAGACTTACCGCAGCATGTCCACACACATACAAACGCCCCACCACCCTGGGAAGAACTACAGATAGCGCCCGCACTTGGGAACTTGTCGTTTTGGCCAAGACCGGGGATATTGTTCCTCTTGTGGCCTAATACTGACCGTCATACGGTATTTAGTGTAGGGGCTCTTAGCCGGGTTCATAGACGGTTCTGAAATTTCCCCATGACTTGATGTAACGTTGAGCATGAAGTTCTTCGCGGCCAAGTTCTTAAGTGCGGGCGCGGTGTGTACCACAATCGCGACGTCAACGCCAACAAGAACTATTCACCTGGCCAACTACGCACGTTTACAACATGGTTTGGGCTTATCTACCTAAGTTAAATACTCGAAAAAGTGGTTTACGTCGCACTACTTGAAAATGGAGTAGATGGAGATATATTTGTCGTGTCTTTGTTTTTGCGCCCGCCGTCCACCTTTGTTGTTGTGTGAGACTGAATGCGACGGCCTTGATCTGCCCCCAACCGCCAAAACCTTTGACGAACCGAACATATTCTCTCACACTTGAGCATTGGTCGTGATCGGATGAGTGTGGTGAGGAGGTGTAGACAAACATGCGGTTTCTTGAGCAGCCCACGATTTACGTACACAGAGCGGCAACCCACGCTTGGTTGTAGCCGCTGTACAGCACACACATCTTTTGTGACGTGGGTTCGCGGCAGATCAGTGTGTACCTTAGCTCAAGCACGTTATATGACGGTTCGGACGTTAGATTGGGCGTTGGCGAGTTCACGACTTTGGCGCTTGGTAAATCCCTGGGACATGCATGGAGACGCGTGTGCACACCAGCACCGAAGCACAGGAGGAGCACAGGGTTGGATGCACAGGGAACTGCTGTTGTCTAAGCAATGCAAACAGCAGCCAACGCCCTCAACACCTCTTGTACCTATGGGTTCTGCATGTGGGCACCACACGATGCCAACCCAACCATACAACGCGTACCGAAGGCCGTCAAGCCGTGAAGAAGTACACACATCGTCTGCAACACTGCTGTATGTAGCGGAGAGAACTTCCCCTACTACATTTCAACAGCAGTATGCACTGACACCGACCGCGGTCATCACGCAATAACCCGTGCCTCGCCTTTCCGCTCAAACGCGAAATGCTTCCAACAGCTGCTTTTTGCACTTGTGAACTTCCTTTGACGCACGTCACACCCAATATGACGCGCGTTTAATCTCAGCCGGGGCGTGCTGTGCGCAAGCCGCTTGCTCAGCGGAGCCGCGCAGATATTTTAAAAGAATTTTCTTCACAAGGAACCGCAATAATGTGTTGTAACTTTTGTCTTGTCTTCACCCTACGAATGATATGGGGAAGATGTTGTACTCGACGCCAAGCCACACAATCTTCAGTTCAAACTCGAGACAGTCAGAGAACTGTACATTGTGGTTGCCGCGTATCACCAGCACTTTCATCGTCACTCACCAGGGCGTTAGTGCCAAGCGACCCCAGTTGCCGAAAAGCCTTCTTTTGTTCGGTAGGACTGCTGCTGTCCACTGTCCAAAAAAACAGACGTTGGACCGTACTTGTTTCGATTTAAACTTGGATCCCTTTTCTCCATTGATTGGGCCATTTGCATTGTGGAACTCGCGGGTACTTGTACGTAAGTATGTCTGAGGACATGGTTATTTTAACTTTGATACAATATGTAGGTTGCTGTGGGAACGCCAAGGTGCATACATTGCGCCTTTCATTCCCTCAGTGCGGGCGGTCTCACCTTCACGAACATTTAATCATGCACGCTTTGCCCCCACTCATAGACATAGAATACAGTCAACTTTGCAAAGCCCTGCATCACCAATGTCCCCGTTTGTGTGTTTTGCACCTTGTGTGTCATTCGGGCTTCAACGGGGGGGGAGTCTTTAGTTGCCTCCATACACTAGGATGATCGCATAGTGTTGGGGTTGAACTTGAAAAGGGGGACCAAAGCGTTTTAATGCAAGCAGACGTCAAGACGTTCGCTTTCATGTCACATTGTGACTGACTCGCGTTTCATGTCCTTTTGGGTCGGTTTGGGTCGGGTTGTACCCTTTGGGCATCATCAGTAGCTACAGTAATTCGTACGTACAATATATTCCATCCGTTGAGCCCGTATTGTGTTCGTTTCACACCAATCAGTAGTTTTGTCGAATACACTATAGGGTCCTTGGCACTCTCATCTTTAATGTAGACTTCACCCTCTTCGATCAGAGTAGGAAGTCGGCCAATTCTTCTTTCTTGCTTACGTAAGTTTCTTCGATATATTTTATTACTAGGTATGGGGAGGTCATGAGCCGCGTGGTCCGATTCAATACCTTGCAGTAGTCGTATCTGCGATGCTGATGGTGCACGAATTCCGACCCACATCAGCGTGAATTGTTTGTTGTGAAGCTACGCGTGCGCCACAGAGGGACAGCAGGCGTGCGACGGGAGCGACGATGGTTCGTTGTATGTGCGGCCGCCGTTCAAAAATTTGCACTTTACATGCGGTTACTTCTTTTCCGTTTTGATGCACATGCACGAAGGAACAAAATGTGAAGTCTTCCCGCTGTGCGGCCGCAAACACGCACATTTGGGAATCTGGAAGAGGCACGCATGCGGCATACACCTGGCGGCGAGCGTATCACACATCACCAGCATAGACATAGGAGGATTGTGACACCGCGGATGGCAAATATTGCGTCAGGCTCACAACTTGCCCACCGCATTCGTCTCAAGCCTTCTGAGTTTCCCGCCAAGGGATAGCAAGCAGTCCATGGCTGATGGGCAAAAATCATGTGTTGCCCCAACCTCCCCCGGGGGGTTATTGGTGTCTAAACACCCCCCCAGCTGTATCTCTGCCCACAAGGCACCAATGGAGGCAAGATATGCACGACTGTGTTGCCGTGTCGTGGGGCTATCGCGAGATCCATCGTACAGCCGAAACGGTTCACGTTTGGTGCAGCCATGGCTGATGGGCAGAATACATCTGTTGCCCCAACCTGCCCCCCGGGGGGGTGCGTACTCTTATGTTTTGCATGCCTTTGCGGTTAGGCCATTGGCCACGCGTCCTCGAGCGGACGGAGCATTGCTCCCACAGGACCGATCACCGATGGCCAATCGTTCCTTTCTACTTTAACAAAGGTGGATCAAAAATGTTTTCCCTAGTCTGTCTATCCTAACGATATCCCTTCCCGCCTTTTCAACCCACCTCCTATGCCCCACTACAGCTACCGTCCTTTCCTCTCTATTCCATGCCTCAAACATCTCCCTGTACGTTCCATCTATTTTTCCCAGCTCAGTCACGTACACTTCCCTCTCCTTCTTGTACAACGGACATTCCGCGACTACATGAACACGGTCTTCGCATTCGAAGCCGCTTTCACATTTGAACTCGTCGCGTTCGTCGTCCACCGTCCTTTGTCTTCGTCGACGTTCTCGAAGGCCTATGTCCCCGGTCCTGAATTTGACCTTAAGCTTTGTTCCTGCATCCATTGGTCCATGTAGGTAGTCCTTGAACCCTATTCCTTCCTTCAACATTCCGTACACTTCTAGACCCTCCTTATCCTTGGATTCTTTCCTCAGATTCTGTTCTTCTCTCTCGGCACAAGCAACAGATATCTTCTCCTTGAACCCCTGTAGACCCTCCGTTTCCAGCGTTTCATCTTCGTCGATGTCGAGCCCCTTCCATACGTCCTCTACAACCTTGACCCATTCCGTGGGTTGTCTACCCCTCTTTTTAATTGCCCACCTCGTCTCCCATACAATTCTCGGCAATCTCTCATCTCCCATCCCGCACATGCGATACTGCCATGTCAGCTTCCTCGCGTCTCTTCCCGACCGTAGGGATTGGATCCCCAATTCTGCCCT